GGAGAACAGGACCACAGGAGAACAGGAGAACAGAAGAGCAGAATAACAGGAGAACAGGAGAATAGAAGTAAAGGAGAAAAGGAGAACAGGAGAAAAGAAGAACAGGAGAACAGGAGAACAGAAGAACAGGAGAACAAGAGAACAGGAAAACAGGAGAACAGGATAACCGGAGAACAGGAAACAGAAGAACAGTCGAACTGGAGAACAGTAGAACAGGGGGACAGAAGAACAGAAGAAAAGAAGAACAGGAGAACAGAAGAACAGGAGAACAGGAGAACAGAAGAACAGGAGAACAGAAACTCAGGAAAATTGGCCTCCCCCTGTACACACGTGCTTAAGTGCAATTAAAAAGTTTTCTAATTATAATAAATGTGTCTATATCTACATGTAAATTACCAAACTTTAAAAATAAATATCACATAATGGACAAAAGAACTTTATGTTATTGTAGAGTGTAATTTCAAGGAGTGGCATGTCTAATTCACAAAGGTATCTTTAAGACCTTAGTCAATGATGCTCAAGTTTCCGGGTAATTATTATAAAAAGTTATTAAATAAATATTTATTTTATCGAGATCTATAGCACTGACACTGATACTGGCACACCCGGCCTGTACATATAAAAGCAAAACTGTTTAAAAAACTAACTTTTCTGTTTTTACGTTATTTCTAATTGTTTAGAGGAGTGTAGACTGTAGAGTTGTAATATAAATAAAAAGTTTTATTGGCGGAACATTTTGGCTGAAGGAAAAAATTTTTGGCGAGATTTTTTTCTCCAAAATATACAGGGAGAGTAAAAAAACTGGGGTTAGGGACAAAACTCTTTAAAAATGTTGGCAGGTTTCATGTTTCAAATGGGAAATTCTAAAATAAAGTGATGAAATTCTGAAATATTTTGGTAGAGACATATAGATATACGCAATTTTTTTTTTTCAAAAATAGCCTAGAAATGTTGATTCCAAACTTTCACAAAAGTATATTGATCAAAAATAGTGATCCCAAAAATTCCGCGAAAAAGTATCAGTACTTTTACCAAAGTATGGCAAAATGGATCTTTTTGTTTGATCCAATTGATGGTCCTTGGTAAAATACATAAAACAATAGATTTAATAAATTCAAGAACTTACCCACTGCCCTAGTTTCACGAACATTGGCTTTAAATCAATTTTGCAAATCTGTTGCCGACCAAGTTTACAAATATGAAACCAAACTTGCCAAAACCAAATACTAAAACATTAAAACTAACAACAGCAACAAATAAAGAAGAAGGAAAAAGAAAAAGAAAAAGTTTCCGATAGTTTAAAAATAGGTTTATATTAATTGTCTTCACAATACTATCGAATATATATTAGAATAATTACAACACACTTAGAATCTAAATATACTTCTGTTTATACCATTTTCATCGTAGGTAAACTGTACATGGTGTTTGCAAAAAATATAATAATGAAGTGACAGCTTAGAGATCGTCTTTGATTTTTTACATAATTTGCAGCATTCATTTGTTAAACTTCAAGCAAGATTCTTAAACGAGAATAGAAAAATTACTCCAACTTAGATTTAAGTTTATAAAATAATACCAAAATTATCTAGATCTAGAAAAAGAATTGTTTATATCTACATATATAAAGTTGTAATCTCTGTCTGTTTGTCTGTCCGATCATGGACCGATTTGCCTCAAATTTGATTGGGGAACTTATTCCTTGCTTGGTTTTGACATTCTAAGTTGAGTGGGTAGACTTTAATAGCGAAAATATAGTTTCACGGTAGAATCTTTCAAGTGCGGGTAAACGGCGGGAGTAACTTGACAGCGCTGAGTTCCCAAACTAGTTTGTATTATTTTGAAAACGCAATAACGGAAGACCACATTTTAAAAGGGTATTTTGTGTGTTTACCTTGAAAATTATTGTACAATTTCTTTGCGAAAAAACACTCTATAATTCAGGGTACTAATGCAAGGAAAGTTATTTCATAGGTGTACGCATTTTTTGTACTGCAGTGTACTGTCTTTGGGCGAAAAAGTAAACACTAGACGGATGTCACAGCCTGACATGGAATCCATTTTCAAAAAATTAATCTATCAAATATTCTGGCCATAGGAAACATTAGTACTTGCTATAACTGAAGGTTCACTTGAATGCATTTATGTATACAGTCCCTTTAAACAGAGGCGCAATACCTGTGTTGGAAAAGAAGGGGTGGAAACTTTGCTTTTGTGTTTAAACATATAACTTCATTATAAGCTGCAGTTCAACTTAGATCAGATAATTTCCAAAACTAAAAAAACTGTAAAGTCATTTCTAACAATTTTTATGTTAATTTAAACTTTAAAGGAACTGAGTTTTGTCACAAACTTTGCTTTTCTAATCTCTATATCTTTGCTACCCAATGTCGTAGACCTTTGATATTTCAAACTATGAGTTCTGTTAGATCAAATAATCGAAGCTTGAAATATCAAAGGTTTACATAATCAGATTGTAAAGATATGGGAATTAGACAATATGAGTTTGTGACAAAAACACAGTTCCTTACTTTTAAACAATTTCATGGGGGGTTCTGCGGGTTGTCGCCCTAAAAAAGCAACGGGAGAATGCCCCCCCATCCCCCTCTCCCTCCCTATAAAAATAAAAAATCTATTTTCTGTTTTAATAATTCCGAGTGCTAGTTGTAAATGCAGTATAAAATATGCGCTATATCAGTTAAAAGTACCAATAACAAGCAAATATAGTATAATAGTATATACATTATACAACCTAGGGGCCTCATTAAAGGGACTGTAGACCTCTCTATCTATTTACATTATACAACCTAGGGGCCTCATTAAAGGGACTGTAGACCTCTCTATCTATTTACATTATACAACCTAGGGGCCTCATTAAAGGGACTGTAGACCTCTCCATCTATTTACATTATACAACCTAGGGGCCTCATTAAAGGGACTGTAGACCTCTCCATCTATTTACATTATACAACCTAGGGGCCTCATTAAAGGGACTGAAGACCTCTCCATCTATTTACATTATACAACCTAGGGGCCTCATTAAAGGGACTGAAGACCTCTCCATCTATTTACATTTATGACAAGTGACAAGACCTATTCACAAGGGTACCCTTAAAAGTATTTGGCCTCATTAAAGGGACTGAAGACCTCTCCATCTATTTACATTTATGACAAGTGACAAGACCTATTCACAAGGGTACCCTTAAAAGTATTTTTCAATTTATGTTTTTATTTTAAAAAATTTCCTTTTTCATAATGGGTTTTCACTAAAACGACGAGCGGATTTTTGCTACAGAAACAATGGAGAAAATCATCTGACTTAAACACTTTTTAAAATCGTAGAAAGAACATGGAGGAAAAGAGGAACGAACATTGAAAAAACGTGGAAGGAACATGGAGCAAACATGGAGCAAACATGGAGCAAACAGGGAACAAACAGGGAACAAACATGGAGAAAACAGGGAACAAACATGGAGTAAACAGGGAACGAACATGGGGCAAACGTAGAACAAACGTGGAACAAACAAGGAGCAAACATGGAACAAACGTAGATCTTACTGGAACGAAAGTTAAGAAAAAAGAATGTGCCCATCCCTACCCAATATTGAACCAGTTTACATCAAATAATATTCTAAACATTTTGTTATTTTAAATTCTGATTCAGTGAAAATCAAACTTAACAAAATGAAAACAACAAAATATTAAAACTTATAGCTTATTGTGGATTTGAAAAACAGAAGATTTTAAATTTTGATCAAAAATCTTGTAATGTACTGCACTGTACTGTACAAGGTACACTATATGAACCACTTTTCACGAGACAGCTCGACTGTNTTTAAAAATCCACATTTTTTTAAAATTCGAGAACATGTTCACAATTGAAATAGAAAATGGGCGCGAAGCGCTCTAAAAGCCATAGTATATATATACTTTGCTTGTCTGTTTGTTTGTTTGTATCCAGTAAACTTAAAAACGGCTGAACCGATCGGGCCCAAATTTTGTGGGACCTCACGTGACCCCAGGGAAGGTTTATGGATGATCAAATTTTCAAACAGTTGCCTCTAACAAGATTCGATTTTTGAAAATTTTGAAAAATCTACGATTTTTTTTTTGGAAAATCCGCAAATATTTTGATTTATTTTTTATTTCACAATGTATGCAAAAGGAACATGTTCTCAATTGAAATAGAAGAAAGGCGCGAAGCGCCCTAAAAGTCTAATGATAATGTTGATAATATCAAGGTGTAACTTAAGGGGAGTTTTCGCGAATAATGAAAGGGGGTATAGGCTTAATGCGATAAAAAAGCGCTTTTGATCGCTTCTAATCTTACTTCTATCTGTTGCGTCTATAAGGAGAAAATTGTTAAAAACGACTGATCCCGAAGAACGTAGTGTCCATACAAATTCAAAAAGATGTAACATTCAACTCGGATCGTAAAGACAATTGTAAGAATTCAATTTTAAATAAAAAATATTACAAATCCATTTTCTTTAGATAGATTGATTATTTCCTTAATATAAAAGGGTTGGTCAAGAATAGCCGGGATGGCCTTAAAACTTTGAATTTAAACCATTCACAAACAGGTAATTTCATGCAAATTGCAAATTTGATCTAAAGAATATAAATCTACCCCCCCCCCCAAAAAAAAAGAGAAGCAACAATATGTGTTAAAAACATAAGTTCTATACATATGAACCCTCTTTTTCCAATAAAACTTTTGATTAGAAATGTCAATCTAACTTTAAATATTTTGACCAAATGCACTTGTTTTCAATGCAGGGAGCTAGGTTCATGTAGTGGTTACCTAGAAAGGGTGGGAAAATAAAAAATCATCCTTGAATAAGCAAATCTAAAACTAAGATGGTGATTCACATTTAATAACATCCAGGTGAACAGCAGTGAAGAAAAAAAATGTTTTTAATTTCTAAGTCAGTTGTCGAGATTTTGTTTCTGACACCCTTTAGTTCCCCTGGCTAGCCCAGTTCAACACAAAGCCTAGCTTCAGCATGCTGTTTCCAATTCTAACTATTTTCTGCAACGCAGGGTAATATTTATCGCTTTTTTAAAGGGAGTGTTCAGGAAAAATGTATATGCTGATCCCGAATTGAATTAGTTTCTGATTGCTACTAATTTAATCTTATCTGTTGCTTATATAAGGAGAAAATAGATTTATTTATATTATATTTAGATTTAGTTTGTTTCCATAAAAGAGTAAAAAAAAATTTGAGCCAATCAGAAGCCGGAAAATTTGAAACTTCTCGGCCATTTAATTCAAGAGAACTTTTATTGTGTGGAATTTGGTGTATATCCAAAAAATAACGAAAAAAGCAGATTAAACAGAAATCAAAAATGTTCACAGTTAAAGAGTAGAAGATCGGTAGTAACAAATAGATTACAATAGGTGGCAACAGAGAAATAGACCAATTATACACGACGTCGCAAGTGTCAAAAATAACAAGGAAAACGAAATGTTCTCACATTAGTTAACATGTTTTCCAAGATTAAATAAAAATTGTAAAAAAAGAAAATAAAGGACACATAAAATTGCCCTTATTTTACTGTAAGATAAGCACTTTATTCTAAAATTATCACTATTATTGATAATGTTGTCGGACATAAAAAATGAATTGGCACTTGTGACGTCAGAATACAGCTGTACTGAGAGTGTGCAAATTCTACATTGCCATCTATTGTACTAGAATCTATTTGGGTAGTAAAGGTATCAAATTCTAAAGTTTTCAGCTCACTTTGTAACAACTGCGGATAGAAATATTGAAAAGTTTGTTATCCTTTTACTTGTGCTTTTTTATATCATTTGCCAATATCGCAAGAATACGTACAAACACAACTTGATTGCGAAATGATTACGAAAACTGCTGGTTTTTGTACATTTCAAAGGAGTGTAGCGTAATTTTAAGTGACACTTTATGCAAAGATGCCCATGCCTGATTCACCAAGGTACCCTTGAAACTTTAATTCTGATCAAAAATGTGGAAAATATCGCAGTTTTTCTGATAATTTCTCCATTGCTTCTTATAAGCAAAAAAACACACCCGCAATTATAAATAGACAGTTTAAAGAAACATGTTTCTTATGCATAAGCATGGATATCTAATTCATACTTGATCAGACAAAGCGTTCAAGGGATCAATTGTAAATCTGGCATTGTCATCTTTGCATAGATCTGGAAGGACACTTGAAATTACGCTTACAATCCCTTTACTGAAAAATTAAAATTTCCTTCAATTTACTTCAAACCTGAAATATAGACTGCTGGAAGCCCTTCTTGTGAGTCGTCAGTTCATTGAACAAGAAGTTCCGAAAACCAATGTTTTATTTGCAGATCCAGGTCAGAGTTCACATTTTATAGAATTTGGCCTTTAAAAAAGGTTAAAATTAGAGATGGGAGAGTTTGGCTATTTTCAATTTGTTCGTTCATTGATCTATAATGTAGCCAAATATGTTTTTTTAGTACTTCAGTAAAATTTTGAATTAATTCGTTATAATTGATCATTTTATTTGTTTGTTCCTTCATTCAAAAGTATCTTTAGTGAGTTGTTCAAAAGTATCTTAAGTGAGCTAATTTGTTCAGTAAAACACTTGTTCAGTGAAATTGTTCGTTCTGCATATTGTTCATTCAAAAAAAATGTTCACAAAAATTGTTAATATCATATATTTGTGAACTATCAAGCTCCTGATTGAATGATTCAGAAATCGTTAACAAACAAATTAAACATTTTTGTTAACAGTCTGACAGAAATAAAATGCAAACAATCGTTAACGTTTTAAAATTGTTTTTGTTTTGTTTGGAAAATTTTACAAAAAAATCCCCATCCCTAGTTGAAATAGTTTTATTGGGCCACATGTTGTACAACAAAAAATATTCAAAAAACAGAATTTAGAGGGAGTGCTATTTTAACTATAAGTTACTTTCATTTTAAGGCGGCTTTGTCCCATTCAAAAGGGCAGAAGCCCAAGGAAGTAAGTTACTTGTGTGGATGCCGCGTTAAATTACAAGACGGAGAGAGAGCCGGTTCTAGCTGCGGTGCTCAGTCCCCTAGCCTGTACCACCCGCAGCCCTCGGCCCAGAAAGTGTCTTTACCCGACCTAAAATATATAATAATCTCTCCTCTTGTAATTCAACGCAGCAGGTGCACGTACCTTCCTTGAGCAACTATACCAATCAAAAGGGTTCCCTTGACATCTTAATCTAGTTAATATAACAAAATTATTCACTTTTGCGCATGTCACTCATGGATATCTGTCTAAATCATTCTAGATCAGACATCACTTTTAAGTCACTGTTTTGAATCTGATATGCCAATCTAACAATGGAGGGCCAATTTTAACGTCTCCAGAAAATAAAATGTTAACACATGAAATGCTTAAATCATCTTTTAAATGGAATACTTTGATTTTCATCGAGTTTATACACCTGAGCCCGCGATTTAAAAAATTCGGGAAAATACGGCTCGGGTCCAAGATGTCGTTGAACCTTATTTACGGCTTGAGCTTTCGGATTGAAGCTGCATCTTATTTTCCACAGAGTTGAGTTAAAAAATCGGTTTAATATTCTATTTGGTGGATTTTCATGGTAGAAATACCATGGATATATAATAAAACTAGAAATTCAAGGCGCTTCGCGCCCTTCTTTCTAGCCTTAGAGGGCGCTTTGCGCCCATCTTCTAAATTAATTGTAAACATGTTCTAAAGGAATATAGAAAGTAATCAATTTGCTATAGATGTATCTTTTTGCACATTTTCTCAGAGGTTCAAAAATTAGTTGTCTGCTACAGGCAATTTAGGAAGGAGGTTTCTACCTGACTGCATATCTATATATTATCTTTGCTGTTTATCAACACAGCTGTACAACTTTCCTACTCTATGGACCCTGAACTTTCCTTCAAATATTAATTCTTTGTAAACAAAAAAAAAAAATCTATTTGAATAAAAAAAAATAAAAAATTGTATAAAAGAAACATTAAAATAAACATAAATATGCCCCTAAAATAAACACAACAAATCTAGGGTCCGGTTTGCTACATCAGCTGGTAGGCCCATGGAATAAATTACCAAAATAAAATTTGTACTGTGGCCAAGTTCAGTGTAGATAGATAGATAGAATCATATCTATAAGCGGGCCGTGGTAGAAATTGACACATTCAGGGTTTTTATGAGAACAATACTTAACATTGAACCTTATTCTCCAGTAAAACCAACCAAGGTTGGTTTTATTTTCAGAGAACCCAAATATAATTAAATATCATATTCATATTTGCAGTACAAGCTGACTCTGCTTTATCATGCAGTTTCCGGTGCTTGGGGAAAAACGGTAAATCTCCTTTTTTTGCAGCAATAATTAGGTTTTCAATCCCTTCCGATTCTATCCTTTTTTACTTTAGCATGCCACCTTATTGACTATTAGAAAGTTAGAAACTAACTGTGTTTCCCTGGCTAGACTTAAGTTGGGTCTAGGCTTTCAAGGCGCTTCGCGACCATCTTCTATTTCAATTGTGAACATTTTCTCTTTGTTTGCATTGTAAAACAAAACCAAAAATTATTTGCGGATTTCATAAAAAAGTGTTGTGGATTTTGAAAATTTAATTTTGTTCTAGGCAAATTTTTGAAATTTTGATCATTCTTAAACCTTCCCTGGGGTCATGTGAGGTGCCACAAAAAATTTGGTTTAAAGGGCACAAAAAATAGAAAGACAGACAAGCAAAGTATGTATATAGATTAAGGAGTGTCAATTTACACATTTTTTTGGAAATTCAAAAAAAAGTTAAAGTTAGGTGTGTATTAATCCTAGTGAAAAATCAAAGCTCTAACTTCAAAATTGTTTTCCTTTCTTGACTTTGAAATATATTTAAGGCGAACTAGGAGGGATTAGGGCTGGGCACGTTCCAATTTTTTCTAGCTGTTTCGTTAACGGTTAGTTCCAATTGTTAAAAGAGAAAACAATCAGTCAGTCGTTAATTTTAAAAGTAAGAACAATATGTATATATATATTTAAAGGATAAACAATTATCTTAAAATCTAGTGCCAAAATTTTGACCCTCACAGAAAATGTACACAAAACAAACAAAAAACGAATCATTTAAAAAAGTTTTTAGTTTGTTTCCCCCTTATATTTTCTCTTAGGATAAATTGCAAATTCTGTTGTTTTTTAAATTACCGCTAGTTAACGATCTCAATTTTAACAGTTTATAATCACAGAAGATGACATTTAAAAACAAATAAGATTTTTTGAATATTTATTACCGTTTTAGTTTTTTAGTTAACGTTTTAAAGTGTTTTTTTTCAAAAATGGTTAATGCGTTTCATTAAGGTTTTTAAAATTAACGGTTTTTGCTGTTCGTTAACAGACTCTTCCGTTAATTTTCGAAAACCTCTGTTTCGTTAACGGAACTTTGCCCAGCCCTAACACGCCCCATTTAAAAGATATCGACTGGAAATTTTCCCTCTTAAGTCTTGATTCACTAGATTTCCCTGAAATCATGGTCCTAAACTGTGGCATCTCATCCGTCTTTCATGCCAATGATATTTGTTCACTTGACTCTGATTCTTGTTGGCGCCATTTTCTTTTATCATTTATACCACAAACTTTTTACACTGCACAACAAATTTTTCATGCTCCAAAGAATCGTTCATCTCCAAATCTCAGTCTTGCCAATTTTCAAATTGTTACAATTAATTCAAATGGACGAGATGTCATATCATAGGTTTAAATATTTTTTATTTTTTATACTTCAGCTCATAAATAGTTTTCAATTAATTAGTGACTGGAGATTGCAATGTGTTTTTCTACAATAAGACAACTCTTAACTGCCATCTTGGCGATTTAAGGTGACTTTAAAAAATTTAGAAATTTGAAATATTTTTAATGATATCCTTTAGTTACTTTATAACATGTTCAAAATTTAGAATTTTGTAGTGTTGAAATTTTATGCTGGTTAATTCACTTTCCTTTGAACAAAATGTAATTTTTAGACAGCTGTAGTTTTTTGATCTGAGATAAAGAAATAAATATGAAAAATTCAAAATTAAGTCTGTAAACTAGAAACAGTGCTTTGGACTTGGTAATTTGTAACTGTTAACTCTGAATTACAAACTTTTAAAATGATTAATTTCATTTCGCTTTATACTAGTATAATGACTGTAATTGAAGCAACTTTCTATTCGATTACACAATTTTTTTACTTTAAGATTTTTTTAGCTTAAATATTTTTAGATGGATAGTTTTTTTTCTTCTCCCACTGTTGACAAAGCTGAATAGTATCATATTTGTTTCTACTATTTTCCTTTGTTCAATTATATTTTTATTTTCAGATCTATCCCATCAAATAAACCCTCTCAAAATTTCCATCTAATTCTACTTTTTGTTGAGATCTGTTTTCCTGTTTCACCCCCAAGCCCCCCTTCCATTTGTCCCCCTTCCTCCTCGATTGCACAATTAAAAATGTGATCATTCAGTGAGATAGATAGAAGCAAGGAAAACAATTCAACACAATTGGTGTGGAAGCTGAAAGGTAATTAAAGGGACTGGAAAGGAAAAATGGAAGAGGGATAGGCTAAAACCTGAGAATATCAGGAGCTGATTGATACCTATAAGAGGTCTATCTGATGTTCTGTATCGAGAAATTGATGTAAAACGGTGTCAAAATTATACCAAAACGTGTGTATGTAAGATTTTGTATAAGATTCGTAACATTAAACAGATCATATTTAACAAATACGAAACCAATCTGAAAACGACGATATCTGAGAAACTTTGGTGTATATTTGAATTTAATAATTTTTCAATTTTAATAGATATAATTGATAATGTTATTTATACGTCTGGACCATGTCACCAGCACTCCAACCAATGGCAGTGCAGAATTATTGTCACATGCCTCCGTCTGCATCACATGACCAGAATACTGCACTGTTATTGGAGGGAGTTCTGGTCACATGAGACAGACATATATCTTACATATATATGGTTTGGTATAATTTTGACACAGTTTTATGTTAATTTCTCGAGACAAGAGCATCAGATAGATGTCTTATAGGTTTCATTCAACTCCTGAGGTTCTCAGGTTTCAGTCTAAACCCCCTGTCATTTTTTCTTTACAGTCCCTGTAAAGCTGAGTTTCTAAGTTGAACAAGAAACCATAATCAAGCCTTTCATTATTTCCTTGTCAGGATGCAGTGTCCCTGAGAATCCGATAAATGGGAAATGGTACTGTGAAACAAACATCAAGCAAGGTAATCTATATGACAATGACAATGTTTTTCTGGTTTTTAATTGTATTTGGCTCTGGTAATAGTACATAAAATCAAAAAAGTTTACATTTTTTTAGAAAAATGTTTCCTTGTTTGTTTTCCTGGATATGTTGCTAAATCCTTCAGAGGTAATTGTAAAAAAAACTAAATCATCTCTAGAAAAAAATCAAACATGGTAAACTTTATTGAAAGCTGTTTATACTGAAATAAAAGTATTTTGATTTCCACTTTTATGCTCTTATTATATACACTTGATGTTATCTAAACTGTTTCTCATCAAAGATCAAGCCTAATAATTACATGATTTATTTCAAAGTATTGATAAGCATTCCATTCATGTTTATCAATGTTACTGCATTATTAGTTTAATCACAGGTTGTGTATGGTTCATCTAACCTATATATTGTTGACTATATGTAAATACAAAACATTTTCATCTAAGGTCCCCCCCCCCCAAGATCGTGGATATTCTGCTAGAAAAGAGGAAATTCCGCCAGAAAAGAGGTTTTCGGATCCCTTTTCCGCCGGATAAAAAAATTCCAGCGGAAACAGATACGGAATTTCTAGTGGATACTCTATGTGTACTCCTAATAGAGTTGTTAAATCGTTCAACAATTGTTTTTGAAAACGACCCACTCTTTTTGAGCATTTTAAAAAATAATAGTTTTTATAAAAACAATAAGTGACCGTTTTTTATATGATCTTTTTTAAAAAACTATCATTTAAAAAAAACTGTCATTGACAAATCTAACGATCGTTAGGGAAGGCCGAAGGGTTATCATTAATGAAACAACAAACTTTATAAAAAGGATCGTTTTTGAAAAAGAATTGTCATCGATAAATATGTTTTTCGACATATGAAGACGATTATGAATGCTCTTACATGCAATGATCGTTTTTCAAAAAAAAAATGAAAACGATCCATCCCTATGCACACCTGAGATGAGATTTAAAAAACTTAAACCTGAGTAAAACCCAAACTCGGGCTTAGATAGAACCCAAGTCAGGATTGGTTCTGATTTGACCAATGAGAGACTGTTTTGCAAGCTTTCTCTCCGTAGCAGACAGAATGTCCTCAGATCAGCTGTGACGAGGAGACAAGAAAATTCAAACTTTATGTAGATTACTAGATACATTATTTTCATAGTATGTTTATATTATATAATTAATAAAATTGGTTCCAATTTCTGCAGATTTAAAAAATACACACTATCTCTCTAGCAGCCTATTATAGAAATATATTAATTGATAATCAATACACAAAATTATTTCAGCAAAAGGATTTTTGTAATGTAAACTTGAAACAAGTTGATGTCGGTTGCCTTATTTTACTAAAAACAAATATTATTAGGCTTGTATTGCTACCTCTATGAAGATCAGGCCAAGTGGGATAAGTCTCCAAATGAGTTCGAGTGCTTACCAACTGTAATAGCAATTACTGGAGGATTTTATTTTCCAATGGTAGACATTTCTCGTGCTTAATCACTCAACCAGTCAACAACTGAACAATTAGACAAACATTTCCTAATCTGCAGAACTGATTTAAAATCAATTTCTAAAAAAGTTTAATGTCTTTTGCATTAATTAGGTCGGTCAATTATCTACCTTTGGGCCTGATGGTCAAGTTCGTTTACCAAATCATCTTGGACATTATTTTAGACAGCATATTGTACAGTATTTCAGGTTCAATTAAATATTTTTTATAAACTTATTGGTTCAGAGGAAAAAGGGTATTAATTAAGTTTTTGAGATAATTGAGGAGAAAATTCGCAGAATGATGAAACACAACATTTCTTTGTATTTTGAAGGTTTCCAAAACCTGTTTATTTAGGACATTTTTGATTTTGTCTGAAATGAAAAAATGAAAAAATCGGAACATTTTTGGAGGGACAATTTTTGTTTGAGGAGAAAATTGCTACTTGGGAACATGATATCATGAAATTGCTACTTTAAAAAGTATTTAACATCATCATGACCACCCTATAGATACCATAATTGGATAGTTCAAATGGATCGCATTGTATTCATTTAAAGCCACATCCATATCATAGGGGCCAGATAATCTACTGTGGTGGATATTATGTTAGAAATAAGTGCTATAGGTTAAACTTCACTTCAGGAAAAATTCAAAAAGTAAATTTAACATATAAAAGGTGTCCCAGAAAGAGTGTGGTTATGATTTTCGGAACTTTTTTTATGTATTTAAAAGTCTCAGATTTGGGTCACGTGAGTGAGTTTAGTTACACATATTCCCATAAACATTTTATTCTCAAATCTGTCCCTTGAATTATAATTTATAATTTATAATTTTGAATTTCTTTATGATCAGGAGGTGAAGGTACATCCATGCAGGTCAAACAATAGTAGTAGTAATGGACCCATTAATCATTTTGAAGAAAATTAACCCGTAAAGTTTTAACTTTAAAAGGTAGAGCCATTAATGACAGTTTTTTCTCAAGTTATTGATCAGCTATTAATGGTTTTCTGGTAAGGCCGAGGGAAGGCACGCCACACCCATATAGCTTCCATACACAAGTGAATCACAAACATGGATTTGCAGCATTGCACCTACCCCTAGAGCTTCCTGTTCACACCCATATGTCTTCCAGAAAAATGTCTTTACTTTTAAATGCTTATTATAGAGAAATGCAGCGTTAATTTCATGGTATATATCATAACCTTAACATATTAATCATATTTATTTGGTAATATAAGTAAATGCATTCACGCTCCCTGGGACAACAGTTGTTAGAACTACGATTTATTGCGATTTCCTACTGAATATTACAATCGTGCAATCTTTATTATAAATAAATTAAAAATAATCTAAATCTATCTATCCGGGGGGGGGGGGGGTTGACCCCCCCTCTGTTTTTTTTTGCGATAACTCTAAAAGTGTTTGAGCTAGGAAGCTTAAATTTTCTGACTTTTCTAAATAACATATTATTATATATGAAAGAAAAATGAATCAATACAACTACTCATTTGATCTAATATTCGACGAGTCGGCTTTTCTCACAATTTATTATTATTTACAAAGATACAAATACTATAAGAAAATACTATACGAATCAAATTGCATGAATTGAGAACAGTTCAGAATGATGGGAGATCTCCAGGGGAACCTATTAACTAGGGAGCTGGTCTTCAACTGCCATTTTTCCCCAAATTTCACTCCACCCTAGCCTAGAGTTTAACCCTCGTTCCCCGGGAGCTGGCCGGCCATCCCCCCAGCACCCGGGCCTCAGGAATAACGGAACAATTGGCGTGGCTTGGGTTATTTATAGAATTCACATACAAACACCAATAAATCCGTTAGATCTGTACAAGGGATAGAGGAGGGGGGGGGGGAATGGAAGAAGGAGAGAGAAGAAAAACCCTTTTATGATCGCAGGAAAGATCAACACATCACTTTCCTGCTACATGCCCCCCTGATCTTTTCTGCGATCAGATAGCATTCAAGGTTTCCATTTCCACTTTTTCCTCTTTATGCCCTTGTCTAGTGGTGTATCTAACATTTGGGGGTGGAGCCCTTCTATTGTTCATCGGCATGGACTGAGAGTCTCCCATGAGGTCCATCAGTAGCTGGGCTGTCCTCAGTTGTTCGTCAGACTCGGTTTTCTTGCAAGATTTGCAAACTCGTACTCCTGATCTAGCAACCCATACTCCGTGCTGAAATGCTGTGATCAGCCCTACGCATATTCCCACGAACGAGACTCCCATCCAAATAGGTCCTAGGATTTTTACTAGGAAATAATCCCATGGGCCTGTAAAACCCCAAGTTTTAATTCTAACTATGTTTCTCTGTATAATTAATAATTGATGATAAAGATATAATTGGCCTTGAATCTGGGAACTATCTAGCCTGTATACCCATCATCAATTATCGAGATTCAATGTTAAAACAACCCTGGGTAAAAGATCGTAGAAACATCTAAAACTTCTAGAACCAGTTAGAAGAAAAGATGCACGCAAAGAATACGTGAGTCAGAGAACTTTTTTCTCAAGAAAGTTCTAGAATAATTTATCAAGCAGCGCCAAAAAACAAGCGCAACAGCTTCGAGAACAATCTATCATGGTTTACTATAAAAAGCCAGGACAAACTCTGTCTCGGGTTAGTTAGTTGGAATCTGAATCCTAGATCTTTGCTCTCAGATCTGTATTTATCGTAAAATGACCCAGTGATTTTAAAGTGTATCTTTGAAGAAACAAATTGGAAAATCTAGGTAATAACTCATTTTATTTGTAACCATTTGTTCTGTCAATATCCGTAATTATCGTTTATCTATTCACCCTAAACTGATTCATAGAGGTTGAAATCCAATAGTATTAAGTAAAGATAGATATATATATATATTTTGTAAAATCAGTTTGTTTATACTTTTATTTAAATATTAAGTTCTATATTTGTACTTATCTTATTTTTATAACTAATCATTTATATGATTAATATTGTCAAAATTTTTCCCTTGGACTGAAATACATAGCTAAACGAAAATCTCAGTGTTAATGATATATATAACGTAGTTAAGAAGGATTGGAATACTCCTGAAACGGAGAGAAACAATCTATGGTAGGATTAAAGTTACACATTTAAAAGTTCAAACCTCGAGAACTAACAATTAAATAATATATATTTGAGAACAAAAAGTGAAACATAGAAATCGGTTCATAACAAAGAAACATTAAAACTTATTCAGAAATACTTTGTCCGCCATAAAATGCGTGGCAGCCTTTAATGCAGGGCTTATTGGTTAAACTATTAGAACAGAATATAGGCCTCAAAACTGTTTTTGTTTAACCTTTAAATCCTGCATTATTTGCTTTTGGGCGAGCCAAAGCTACTGGAATCTTCTTTGTAAAATCTTTTATTCAAAAACTCATCAGAAACTATATGATTTATTGTCGTCCTTCGTTTATTTATCTAAGATATTAAAAATAGTCAATTGCGATTCATATCAGCAATTTTATAAAAGGTTGCTTATCATAAGAATAGGTAACACTTTTACAGGCCTAGTTCTACAAACTCGACAGTTTCCTTTTCCAGCTTGGACAGTGAGTACGACGGACTACCTGGTAATGGGTTCAATTCACATTCGTCGTCCTGGGAGCAGACCGCATGCACGAGGGTGTCGGTCACTTGCTCCTTATAATGTAATAAACCACTGATGTGTTCAAAATCACGCTCCTCTTGCTCAGTGTACAGTCCTACTTCATCAGCATGATGAGACAAAACAAGGTTCCCGTGCTCCTCTGACCTGGGGGGCGCCATCGCCTTCACTTTTGGACCAAATCTTATCCAACTGTCTGTCCCCGGTAATACACGGGGGAAGTTCTCGACACACGGTTCTCTCGCTGACTCCTGCTGAAGCATTCTATTTGCCAGGTTCCCCACCTGCTTTATTGGAGCTCCTTGGAAACATCCGTCGGAATCCACTAACTCCACAATCACTTTCTTGCATGCATATTGATAAATGTAATTGGCTCGGCGAACAGGAAAGTATCATTTTAACCCTGTGTGGAGCTGCTAAACCTGGTTCTTTAACATTCAGTGCACAGACTACCGACTTGCCCAGTGCTTCCTTGCGCCCTTCTATCACCTCCAGCTGAAACCTTAGAAACAGAGAAAGTGACCTAATCTCCGCTGCATAACTCACGTCCTGAGCCCGGATCTTCTCTATCTTGGTTTCCTCTGCCATATCTGTTGACCTTACTAACACAATATCCTTCACATTTGTGGAGAATGCTTTGTACCCTCCGCAGGGTATGGGTAATGCATATCCACCTTTCAATTCATAAAAGAGTTCGTTTTCAGTGGAAGCAAAATAATGTGGAGCCAATAATCCTTGCACTTCCTTTATCTCCTTGTATGTACAGCTGTCCGCTGGCTGGTTCCAGGTGTAGGTGTGCAAGGCTCCTACACATCCCAGTGACGGGCCTCTTGGGTTGCAAGCTAACAGCTCCGAGGATGACATAGCTCTTATCTCAGATCCCCCCACCGTAAACATCTCCGTCTCAATGGTCACCACATACTCCATGTGCGTTACGATTCCCTTCTGGATCGACCCATCAATCAATATATCCGTACCCTGGCACCTTATCTCTGAGTTTGAGGCAGTTTGGAACCCAGCGGACAACTCCATGATGTAGGTTCGCCCAGGAACCACTATTGATTCTGTCTTCTGCCCCTGGGGAGTTACAAACTGACGGGTAAAGCCATCTCAGCGAAAGATTGAGCTGGAATCACTAATGTTTGCTCTTGTTCTGCACTAAGGATAGGTTTACTATAGCTGAACATCCCGCAGTAATACATACTGCGGTGCGAGGATACTTGACATTTGTATCCTTCCACCGTCTGCGAATTCACATGTTGGAGGATTGTAACCTTCTCCGACACCCCTTCAACCTCCGGGTTGAACCTGCAGTGGGCCTCTCGGTCAAACATCTTGATATTCATAGGCTGGGAGCAGTCGTAGGCCTCCACCTTGTACTCGTCCTTGGCCATAACCTGCACTCCCAGCACTGCCAGCATGCCTACAAACAGCAGCTGGCTTACTCCTTTGCTCCTCCTCCCCTGGTGACGGGCCGCCTGCTCTCGTACTTCACCATCAGGCTGATCAACTTCCCCACGCTCTCTCCCTTCTTCACCTGAACAAAGATATCATTATTATGGTTAATCATGTAGATTGCAGGTGAACGTAACACTCCTGCCCTGGGGGAAAATTTTGACGCAAAAAGATTTTTCTCAACAATAGTGTTAAACAAGATTGGTAAAATGAAATCATCCCCACTGACTTGTCCTGGATCTTCTTCTAAATAAACCCATGCCCCTTGCCCAGGGTGAAGTGTTACAGAAATTGTATTAATTCCTTCCTTAACTTTATTGCTACTTCTATCTGCTTCATCCTCTGTGTCACTCCAACTACTTTCATCTGCTCCTTGCACATAACTACTCTGATCTGCTACCTTATACCTAGTCCTGACACTACTTCTTATGCTACCACTACTTTTAATACTCCCTGTCTGCACCCTTTCTAGGGATGCAGCTCTTGTCCTGATGGAGTTAGAACTCTCTCTTGATCTGCTCCTTCTTCTCAGCGGTGCTGTAGAGTCTGGCCTCTGTGCCCAGCTCTCCTTGAGCGCTCCTTTCAGTGACTTCAAGGACGGTGCTATCGACGATCTTGTTCCTTTCTTGGATCTGGGGTTTGCCGGTAGTTTGAACTCCGCGCTGTATCTATCTGTAGGGATTGATCTCCTGCTGGATCTTCTCCTGGTATCCTCAGTAGTGGTGCTGCCATCTAACAGCCTTAGTTCTTCATCATTGGTAGTAGAGTTTGCTGCCTCATCAACCTGACGAAGGGGGGTATTTATTCCTTCTGTTATTTCCTCTCCATCTCTAGTTTCCTGTTCTCCTTGTCCTCCGGTAGGGGTGTTTATTCCTGTAGGTTCATCATCTCTCCTTTCTGGTTCACTGCTAGTTTCTGTTTCTGATCTTCTTGGTTCCGGAGTTTTGACTGGCTCTGGTTCCGGGATTAAATTGGCTGCCGACCCCGTTACTTCTTCATCATCTGTCAGTGCTTCCTGTAGCATTTCATCCCGTGGTTCGTCTTCTGCTTGAAAATGGTTCTGGAATAATTGCTCCGGGTTGCTGCTGTTGGACCGAGCTGAGCCTGGAGACTGTATAAAAGATTGGAAGAGGCCGTCTTCGCTGTTCTCTGAGCTTGCTGCAATGCTTGAACCTGAGAAGTTTTGAGGAATCACAGGGGGGCTTGAGCACCATCAAGGAGTTCTTCATCAAGGGGCTGTACATTGATGAGAGAAGCGGGGTTTACTGGTACATTGACTTCTATTGCTTTTGTTGTTTGCTTCGGAATTTTTACAAAGTTCTTCGATGTCAACAGCATTACAGGTGCGCCTTCATTATCAATAGCAAAGTCTTGAGGGGGGGGATTTTTCAAAAGATCTTCTGGGTGTTTTAATTAGGGGTCTGGATCTGTGTGAAAAATATACTATTAAATCCTGATGCTCATCCGTAGTGCTGTGTACAACACGTGCAGCTGATGGTTCTAAAACTGGGCTCAGACTGTTCATTTTTAAAAAATTTATCCCTATAATAACTGGCAGAGATAAATTTTTCAAAACAACAGCTGAACCTGAAAAGGTTGTAGACATATCATTAAACCTAATCTTAACATCTAGCTGCCCTACTGTTTCCATCGTCGAATTTGAACTAGCCCCATTTGCTGAGTTTAAATCCGACAGTACTAAATCTCTTACATTTCCTTGCAAATTGTTAACGAAAAAATACTCGCTGATAGCGACGCCCGTTGGTATGAGGGCGCCAGTATCAATTAAAATTTTAGTATTTCCAAAATGTTTACCTGTAGAATCCATGTCCATTGATACAGAACCTTCTAGGAATGATGTGGCTTCAATCATGTTTATGTCCGGACTGCGAAGCTTCTGGCCGTCCAGCGCATACTTGTAATGCCCTTGAACATTATGGTACTTGCTTTTGCACTTGACGCAAAATGTCTTCTGTCCGGATCTGGTACAATCAGCATGCTTGTGGTTCTGGCCGCAGTAACGACATACTAAAATACTGCAGTCGCGCATGTAATGAGCCGCACCGCATTTGAAACAGACCGGAGTTCTAGCTTCTTTCTGTTGAATTGCATTCACATTTTGCTAAGACTGTGACGATTTCACTCTCTGCTGGAATTGAAGGACGGAGTCGCACAGCGTTGTCCATTGGAACAGTACAGAAATAACGATGGACGCTGTCAACCTAGCTAACTCTGTGGAGTAGAAACCCTCACATATTTTCTTGAGCAGAAGGGACGCTTGCGACGTTGTCCATCCTGAGCTGGGGCCCCAAGCATCTTCTGCTGTGTCTTTAACTTTCTGCAAGTATGACTGAACGGATTCTGAACTTGCCTGACGGAATCCTTTGTATATATCCATCATGGCTTGATCCCTGGAGACGGGGCTATGGACCACAGTAGTAATGAGATGGAGCAGGTTCAGGTAAGAGTAGGAATCCTTCTGAACTTCTTGACCGACATCTAGCGCCAGAAGACGTTGTTTCAAGCTGGTGGAGCATGAATTATAAACCACAGCAATCCTCCCCACTCTAGTTGTCATGAAAAATTTATCAAACACATCAGCGAAATGGACGGACCAATGCTTGAGAGACTTTGTAGAAAAATCTTGCTGTTTTAGGTTTTCCACAACCCGGGAGATGGTTTTCGCTTCCCCCTCACTAAGTTTGTCCCATGGCATAGGGGACATTGCTTCATCAATGACAAAGGTTTGGGCCTTTAGCAGTTGCTGAACTTTAGATTTGTCATCTTCTCTCGCTAGATTGATTCTCGCCTAAGTAGATAGGGTGGTGGTTAAAGATTTTTTAACCAATTCATCAAGATCTGGTATTCTTTCCACCGTGTCCTCAAATTTTTCAATTTGTGAGGCAACTGGGTCCTTGTAGGCTGGTAAAAACACCTCTCGTAATCAGCTGAGGAACCAATCGGGTCTACCTCCAGGTCTTGGTTGTTCAGGGGTGTCGTTCTCCATCCTAAGATATAAGAATGGAATAGGGATGAATAATACATTTAAACTGAAAGAACATGTTGTCCGTCTGTGTTTCTAACATCTTAACTTAATTCGCGTCAAATTAACTCTCATCAATCTGTCGAAAAATACTAGAGCTTGATGAAAATATCTGCGCCATACTCATAAACTTATTAACGATTAAAAAAAATAAAGATAAGGTCGCTTTACCTTGGAATTATTAGTTAAACGTTCACAATTGGAAAAGTAACGGGTAACTGTGGTGTAGGATGAGTTGGCGTCTATTTTCAATGCCGCGTTTCGTGCAAGCTCACCGATAGTACTCTAACATTCTGGTTAGGGTGGACTGAAATGTTAGAAAACTATTTTGCCAAATATTATCAAAAACGAGTGTTGTTATTTGGGCTTCCAATTTTGAACTTGTCACCATATTATATATGAAAGAAAAATGAATCAATACAACTACTCATTTGATCTAATATTCGACGAGTCGGTTTTTCTCACAATTTATTATTATTTACAAAGATACAAATACTATAAGAAAATACTATACGAATCAAATTGCATGAATTGAGAACAGTTCAGAGTGATGGGAGATCTCCAGGGGAACCTATTAACTAGGGAGCTGGTCTTCAACTGCCATTTTTCCCCAAATTTCACTCCACCCAAGCCTAGAGTTTAACCCTCGTTCCCCGGGAGCTGGCCCGCCATCCCCCCAGCACCCGGGCCTCAGGAATAACGGAACAATTGGCGTGGCTTGGGTTATTTATAGAATTCACATACAAACACCAATAAATCCGTTAGATCTGTACAAGGGATAGAGGAGGGGGGGGGGGAATGGAAGAAGCAGAGAAGAAAAACCCTTTTATGATCGGAGGAAAGATCAACACATCACTTTCCTGCTACAATATGCCCACCACTCAGGCATACTGCCTAAATGTCTTATTTTACCTATACCAGACTAAATCTATATTTAGACCTACTTCCAGTCATTGGATTTTTACATTTAATAGCTCTTTGGAAAGCCTATAACAAAAGCAACCAGATTGCACAATTTTTGCAAAGAAATTTTGCACAGACACTGTTAAAGGGAATTTTAACATTTTTAGTTTTTCTTGAATACACATTTTGGATTTAAAAACTTTGCAAATGTTTTTGCAGATTTGAATTTGTTAGGTAACAGGCTTTTTTAAAAATTTATAAATTGTTGCAATTTGCACATTGTTTTCCTACACATTTTTTGCTTAATAGCTAGATAACGCAATAAATAAGTGGAACCAGCCATATTTAAGCCGCGGCTTAAATATAAGCCGCGGCTCAAATTCTTTAAATTCAACCTCTGGATAAATAGGGTTAAAAACATTTTTAAGAGAAGATCAAAATCAGGAAAGTATGTACAAAATATTTTTTAGGAGAAAATAAGCATTTAAAAGTAAACACATTTTGCTTGAGGACAGAAGAGGAAGCAATATGGTTAGGCTACGGCGACAATATGGTTGAGAGTCAATTGCTGGAATCAAGGTATATGTGTGCAACCTGCCTTGCCTCCATTGCGCATATGATAGTATTAGTAAGGCTGGTTGGTCTACCAGTTCCAGAGTTAGTGTCCATGATCACTGGTCAGCCTGCAGATTTCTGATGCATTTTATTGAACATGCTGTTTGTCTAATGCTTAATCAACGTCAAAAAGTTGTGTTTAGATATCAACTAAAATAAGGATCAATAGTGCTTCTGTTATAGTTCAGGACAGATATTACATAATAGGTATATATAATTTTTATATTCATCGAATTTCAGAATGCTCTACTAAGCATAGGGATTTCCACTTCTTATATGTCACAGAATCAGTGAGATTACCTGTCCAGAATTTTTGAGCCCTTACCCAAACACTCTTTTGATTATTCCTTTGATATTAATTTTTCTTTTAAACCCTTTAATTTAATTGAAGCATTAGTTTACTCTGTCTTGTCCACATATATTAGATCAACTGTTAACTGAAACAGCTTCTCCTTTTACCCTGAAAAATATAATTAATTTTAATAAAGGGTGGGGGCAGAAGCTCACGCAGACATAATAAAACGATTTATTAATGAACCTATTTCCAGTTTGCTTTTGAGGTCTCTCTGTTAATTTAATTTGCTCAAGATTGGTTTAAAGTTATACTTGACAATGGATAACCCTATAAACCATAGTGAACACTTATTTTACTGTTTTTCCTGGTCGATAGATGATAATAATTTTTTATTATTGCAAATAGCTTTAATTTGCTATAAAGAGCTTCTTTAAATATGAAAAAAAAATAATCTGTTCTACCTCATGTTGATAATCTTAAATTGCATTAGTTGCAACAAAAAGGATTAACATGGATATTGGGTATTCATTCTTCATGTTTAAACTTTTGTACTTGAGTATTTGCAGTGCTTATGCTTGGAACCTGATTCAAGATAGATCTGGCATTTACAATATTAGATGGGCGGAATAAATCAACCAGTTATAGGCTAATAGGGAATTTCTAGTATTACATAGTATTATGTTGTTCAGGTGGTGATTTGGCAGAATCTCAAGCACAGGCGGAATACATTCTTGAAGCAGGTTGGTAATCATTTTGATATTTTTACCTCAAATAGCAGTTTTGGAATTTGGATTTTCTGTTGTATTCTTTTTTAATTCTGCTTGTTTCCCAACCTCAGAAGTTGCCCTAATGTAAATCATCTAATCTACCATGCCGTGTTGCATCGGGCCTGACCGTAAGCTCCTCTACTCTTGGCTCAATCCATAATGAACACTCAGAATCAAGTCTTCGAGCTTTATTAAGGCTCAGAATTTCAATCTAATACAAAATGATGTTAAACTAATATAACTACAGAATAGTTTTAGAAAATTAAATAATCAGAATCATGATTACACATTATCTAGGCATTAAAAACTGTAGCATGAAGACAAATCAAGAATAAGTATAAATGAAATCAATACACAATCCAATAAATATTAATAAATATTTTTTGTCCTTTCGACACTTCACAGAGACATAAATCTTTTCTTCGTGAAATAAACAGGTAAACTAATCAAATTCTAAACACAGTACAGAATGTACGCTTGTTATACAATAAATCAGGTTTGCTGGCCGGCATCGACCATACAGAGTTCAGGGGTAAATAACTGCACAAACAGGGGTGCTTTACAGACTTTAATCGCCCTGTGAAGGATGCGAAACACTGCTATATGTTTTTATTTTAGAAGTGTGTAAGGTGCATTATGCTATTTGCAATGGCTTTAAATCAAGGATTATTATCTTTTATTGAATTTATTCCAGCATTTTGATAAATAATAGATCCCTTTCTATTAACCCAGGGACTGCTTAAATTAATCTGAGCTCGGTTACTGAATTACACACTACTGGTTCAAATCTTGATTTACTGATTTAAGTTAAAGATTCATAAGGCCTTATGGATTTGATTCTCCTATAATGATTTAAACCAGCGGGAGGAAGATAGTACAGTGATCTCTCCAATTATTAAATTTAGTCTCAGGATTTTTAACTATTAACTTACATATATATATATATATATGTTTATTGATGTTTATTGACTGATGAGGATCGAGAGATCTGAAACAATTTGTATTAATAAATATGAAAACTGAGAAGCTGTTCTGATTATTGCTTTATAGTTTATAGTTATATATATATATTAAAGAATTGTAGCTACTGAGGATCGTCATGATAGACGTGAAACATTATGTTTAGTATAATTCTTTTTTTAATAAAAATGTGAAGTTAAAAACTGAAATATATATATATATATATATATATACATTTTTTTCTTCATCAAAGATGGTCTCTCTTATGATGGAATGCTCACACCTGAACTAACTGATGCAAACACTGCTCCCAGCTGTGCAATTAGGTAAGTCCCATCAGTGCTCTGGGGCCTCAGCCTATAAGGGGGTTAGTATGGGGGCAAACCCTTTACTATGGAAGGCATAATGAAGCTCATTTAACAAGTCAACCAGAAAAAAAGTTCTAGGAATCCTATTCAGTTTATTGGGTTTTTCTCAATTTAAAATTAAAAACTAAAACTAGTTTTTATCAAACATTACCAACCTATGATTTCCCCAGCAGCAGAATGATAAGTTTTGCAAGTTTTTGTGAAAAAAATTATGCAAAAGACAATAAAATTGTGTACAACTACATTTGCGGGAAATTAAAAATTTTCTTAAACATTGCTTTTTAGATTCACAGACAAGTCCTTTGTAAATATTGTAAAAGATATGGTTACAGAATATGATATCAGTGCAGGTAAAAATCTAATTAATTAGAAAGCTATATAAGGTCTTCCAGATTTTATTGAATTCATTAGACTTGATTTTTAATTCAGGAACTTCTAAGGCACTTCCGAACCTCAATATTCCAAGGCAAAGATTTGGTTGTGATTCTTATTTGGTCAGTTAAACATCATATTTTAGTTTTTAGAAATTCTTAAGATTTTAAAATTTAATTTTAGGATGAAGATGAAGAATTGGTATCTATTGTTGCAGGAGGAAATACTGTTGATTCAGCCTGTAAGACCAAACCTTGAGATTTAAATATCAATAGTTCTGAAAGTATTGTATGTGACACTCCCTCCTGTGGCCTCCAGTCCATCCGAGTGAAAAGAAATTCTATAATTCCTTCCGGAACTCTAAAATTATGTTAGGAGACCAAAGCTGAAAACTATAAAATGAGATATCCATAATCCTGATTAGGGCTGGGCGCGTTAACGGTGGAACGATCATTCTTTCCCGAGAACGAATGGAACGATCAAGAACGATCCCATCGTTCCGAAAAAAAAACGAACGCTTAGAACGCATTCTTAAAAATTTTGGAACGATTGGTAAAAGAACGGAACGGAACGGAATGGGAATTGCTTGAAAAGAACGGTTAAAATCGTTAACGCGTTATTATTTTCAAGAACGCGTTCTAAGTTGGGAACGCATTTTAAATCAGGAATGTGTTTCCAGTTCAGATTTTCTCTGTATGTATAATGAACCGAAATTGAAAGATTGAATTATTAAACGGAACGATTTAGCTGAAGGCCCTCGTTCTAGAACCGAACGGAACGATTTAAAAAAAGTCGGAACGTGCCCAGCCCTAATCCCGATTACTTAATCTGAGTATCCAATGGACACACTTTTGATTTTCGTCTTAAACCGTTCTTTCTTGAATATTCGTATAGAAAAATAAAAAAAGCGGTTTTAAATCTAGAGAGTCTCTCCTGTTTCTGTATATAATCTTAAATGGCGCGCAAAATTTCAAATTTATCGGCTCCATATATGCGATTCTGATTGGTTGAATTTTATACACTTTTCAGGATACAAGTACAAGATTAGTTTAGTCTCGATATTAAGAAAAAGAGAGGATCAAGCATTAATCTCAATATCCACCATCCACCATTCTAAAGTTTTCAGCTCAAGTTCTATGAAGAGTTTGTTTTAGGATTGTTTCATATCTTTTTTTACTTAGACACTGCAGAAATATTTAAACCCTCTTTCGGACAATGGATCATAATTGGAAACTTAACTTATCCACGGTAAGTTTACCATAAAAGCAGGAAACTTTGTAATGGACATCTGAGTCCAAAACTAATGAACGAAAAGATACAACTTAAATGTTAAGCTTCAGTTTAAATGCCACTTCTGACTTAATTTAAAGCTGAATTTTAAGCTATAGCTTGAACATTTAACTTATTGATTTTGGTGAGTTAAAATTTAAACCTGAGAATGCCACAATTAAATTTCGAAATATTTGGATGAATAAAATTGATTAAATGTGACGATTCAAATAAATTTTTTTAACAATTTATTTTTAATTTAAAATTTTTTTTCAAACTAACAAATCTTTTCCTGTAATCTGGAATAATTTCGAATATCATGTAATCTTAAATGTATTTTATTAGCACTGCAGTTATTTGAACAAATTGAAATTAAGAAACAGAACAGCTAATATTGCATATTCTCTGTCGATCCATAATTCCTGTTATCTGATTCATATTTTTCCCAGGAAATTTAAATTTCCCTTCTGGGTTAATTTGAGAAAGATTAATATTTAAGTATTAAGTCATTATTTTTCAGCACTTCTAAGCTATAACTTAAATTTCGCGCATTCTTTAGTTTTAGAATCTAGTCAAGATTAGACATTTAGCAGTTGCACTCTTTAACAAGTGAACTTCCTAATTCCTAAGTTTAGTCTGAATCTGCCAATGACGGCATCTTATCTCTAAAGTAAACTCCGCAACCAAGGTTTGGCCATAAATGTAAAGATCTCTAGCTCATGCACCTCTGCTCCTTTAGTAAAAGTAAATTCAATCTATATGAAGCATAAAGTCTGACCGCGTCAACCTTGTTGCACCGGCTAGTCCTGTCCATAGAGCTAAGTACAGTACAAACTGCGACCGGAAAGGGTGACCCGGCTCGGAAATTCAAATGTACTACGGCTGCCCGTGAGCTGAGCATCTAAAAATTTAGCCAGAAACCAAGTTGCATGCTTTGAAGTAATTATTTAACAAAAATTGTAAAGGATAATATTCCAAACTGTTTTTAGGGAAAGCCATGCTGTTGTCACTACTTCGGATGGAGTATTTGCTATTGGTGGTGAAAATAATCCCACTGGAAAGGTTTGCATTTTATAACTTTGTATTTTTAACTTCAAAGCAAAACACAATAAAACTTTAGAGACCTGAGGTCGAATTTTAGTCGCGGCATAAATTTGAGAGACGGGTCAAACATGGTTGGTTTCACACGAAATTGTGTTCAACGTTTCAAGATTTGAGCCAGCGCTCAATTGGAAACGGTTTTTGGAGGTTTAGTGACGAGGTTTTACCTCTTCAAATTCGGCCTCTGGACAGCTATGCATTATAAAATGATTATAAGTTTTTATCTACTACCATATCACATATATATTTATATATATATATATATATAAGGCCTTCTTGGATGAGACCAAATAGATTTGCTTGTTCAGGTGGAGAAGCTGGATATCAAAACTAAGACCTGGATTGACACTGGATTAAATTATGACCCTGATTCCGCTTTTTTTGCGGCTACTGCAATTCCTGTTGATATTTTGCCCCCTTAGATTGATTTTGGGAATTTTGCAAACCATCATGAGTCCGAATTTAATGAATTTGAGCCGCGTCTCAAATCCGCCGAAAACCGGTTTAAATTGAACACCGACTTAAATATTGAAACATTGAATACAATTTTTAGTGGAACAAACCATATTTAAGTCGCGTCTCAAATTTAAGTCGAGGCTCAAATTCTTTAAATTCAGCCTATGGTTTCCCAATTCTTGATAACTGTGCAATATGCTAGCATGCAAAAATGATGCACAGGGTGTCCCACGAAACATGAAAGTGGCAAGACAACTTTAAGGTCGTCTTTGGTCTTAGAAATAATTCACATATTTATTTGTAATATTAGAAGTAAAATTCTAGAGTTACTAATCTTACGATTTAAAAATTTTGGTCTGGCTTTTTTATGCTTTCAAAACCACCAGAGATATAAAGAATTTGTTCAGATTTCGAAAATTTTGGTTTTATTCAATAAAATTTAAATTGTATCTAAATTCTTAATATCTGCGATGATGTGGACAGCACAAAAATGGTAGACCACATTTTGGAAATCCCAGCACTAGAAGATTTTTTCTTATTGTTTTAAGAATCATACATGTGAAAGGAGGTTGACAACTGTAGGTTTCAAATTAATTCAAGCTGTGTCGTGGGACACCCTGTATATTGGCTTGATACATAGTATTTTAAACTCAAAATGTCCAAAGCCCAAATTTTAGACCAGTATTAATGATTTTGGACATTTTTAATATCTCCTAAAAAATTCTATTCGCATGGTTAAACATAAAGTCTTTTTTCATTCTTTTAGCCATTTTTAATCAAGTTTGAAGTTTTTGAATTCTTTTGAGGTCAAATATGTATTTTTCTAACGGTCATATATAATATTGTATTTTAAGTAAGTAAGTAAGTAAGTAATATTTATTGCACAATAACATGTTAACATATTAAAGTGGCAGGAGATATACATTCGCAGGATTGCGGTTTACAACGTAGATCTCATAATACAGTCTTTAAAACAAATTATACATTAACAAGAAAATAATCCATTGGTAATTAATATATTTTTCATAACATGAATAGAATGTACAAGGTGGCGAACTGATGTGCTGGATGGCTGGAAAAGAGTCTCGATTATTAGTCCGACAATTATTTCTGAATATTTTAAATGTAGAAAGTAATTAGTAATTATTGTGTGTTGAATGTTTATTTCTTCTTTGGACAAAAATTATTTTGCTTAAGACTAATTCCAAAACTTCAAACTTAAATATAATTTGAATCAGACATATAAAAAATTTTTAAAACCATTAATATTGATCCGAAATTGAGGATCTACAGCTACCATTACGATTTTTTGGCCGCTAGGTGGCCGTCTTACTAAATTTCATAATTGATAAGAATAACAATTCTTCAAAAGAAAAAAAATTAGGGGTTTCCTCTTAAACTTGTTTTGCTGAGAGAATTGTAAATACCTTATTGCTTTAATATACTTTTTATTTGCATTAAATAAAGATTTATTTTCTATTTATTATTAAAGACGACCCACCCAGTATTGAATTAATAAAAATAAATGTTTTTTGTGAAATATTTTGATACGTCTCTAAAAATACGTCTAACGTCTATCTTGCAAATTGCATGTAATATAGACAAAAAGATTAAATTCCAAAATTCCAAAGAAATTCTTTCTTAATTTAGAAGATTTTATTAAAAATAATACAGGAGGCCTCTTCATATTTGGAGGTAAAAAAGGGACAGTGCATGTATTTTTAAGTGACCATATTTTAAGAGTTCAATGTCTATTTTTCACACGGTATCATTTTCCCATTTTTAGTTGTTTTTATTTTTAAAGTTTTTGAGTATCGTAAAAATTGCAATAATGTATCTAAATCAACTTTTTATCTTACATAATTCATAGTTTGAAATATCAAAGGTTTTAGACTTTGGGTTGCAAATATATAGTGATTAGAAAATCAGAGTTTGAGGCAAGAACTCATGTTCTTTGCCTCAAGGTTGTTTGGAGTGTCATGAATTAAATGGATGAATTTTTCAAAAATATTGCATTGCATTAATAATTTTAGTTTGTTGATAATTACATATAAAATTTGCTAAAACCATAACAAACTGTAGTCCAATTTTGCACAGAAAAATATGTGTATCATTCATTTTATACAAAATTTGCGTTATTTGTGCGTATTTTTGCGTGTAAAGTCTTTTCTACAATTTGGGCATCATTTTAAATTCACCAGAACTAGATCAGAATTTCGCGAAAATTCGCAAATTGCAGCGTAAACTAGATTTAAATTCTGTTAGAAACCCTCAACCTCTTCAGTAGCAGAATAATCTCTTTATGTCGTGTTCTGTAAAAACTGATAAAAATTCAATTCAACTTTTGGTTTGTTATCATTTTTGCATTTTGACATGTTTTTAAGGGAAAACATTGAATACTTTTAAAAAGGTCAAAAGAACTATCTCATTTTTGACACCTTGATGGTTTGTTATGTTAAAAAGGAAGAGTAATTAAAAAATGTGGAAGAAAAAAATATTTTTTTAATTGATAGGATATGGCAAAGGATGATAGTCAGTCGTTGTTTAAAAAAAACAGGTGTCACATCTTTTGTTTGTCCACAACATTTGTCCAACTTTTGTTGGACATTTAATTTTTTTAATTGGACTATGAACAATCATGCAAGGCAACTTCATACTTTTACACTAAGGCCTTTTTTAGGGGTGTAGGGGAGTGGGCATTCCGAAACAGATGTTTTTTTACTGCTTGTATGCTGTAAAGTGTAACCACTGTCCTTGTAACTTTTTAATGGAAATTCTTCATCAAACTTTGAAATAAAATTGAAGAATGAATGTACAACAACAACTGTAAGTGCAATGTTTTATTATGTTCTTACACAAAAGAAATACAAAAAGTATTCTTAGTATCCCTGGTACCAAGGTGTTACAGGGTGAGGAGGGGGGGGGGGAAGTCAATAGCAGCCTGTCTTTATTTTGTGCATTAAAATGTTGACGGCCCAAGAAACAGGTATTATATATTAGGATTATATAACAGGTATTATATATTAGGATTACACTAAAATAATCACTTTATCGATAGAAAATAGGGATAAGTCTATCATTTTTCTACACACAAAGGTTTAAAGGGGACACTTGTGAATCAGACAAACATCTCTTGTTTAGAAGTATCACATGAAAATATGTCAACAGAGCTGAAAACTTTAGAATAGTGGATATCGAGATTAATGCTTTGAACCTCTCTTTTTCTTAATATCGAGACTAACCTAATTTTGTACTTGTATCCTAAAAAGTGTATGAAATCCAACCAATCAGAGTCGAGTATATAAAGCTGAAAAATTTGAAATTTTGCACGCATGCATTTAAGATTAATATACAGAAACGGGAGGGACTCTCTTATTTTTAAAAAACCGGTTTTTTTTTGAAAAAAACGGTTTAAGAAGAAAATCAAAAGGGATACTCAGATTAAGTAATAGGGATCATGGATATCCATAGATTATAGAATTTACAGAGAGGAATTAAAAGAATCTCTCGGTATGAACTTTTTCAGTCCCTTTCAGCCTGAAAGGGAGTTCAAAGTGTACAAATCATGTAAATGTTCACAAATTATATGCAGTAGAGTACATTAATACAGTATGTTCTCTAGACTCAATTTCGAATCTTTAAAACTGTTTAATAAACTTTATAATGAATTAGGTGAATAAAAACATCATTTGATTTATAGTTATAACGGAAAATCATCGTTTGTAAAGTGGAAGGCATAGAGTCTATGTGAAATGATCATTGGTCAATTATGAAACCAGCCTATTTCATAATTTGGTCTTCTTATAACAATAATTTTAGATTTTCTATAAAATGATATTCCAGGGCCCAACTGGTTATAAAGCATAAATATGTGAAGTATACCTGCAGTATGGAATCAGTACAACAAAATGGCCGTTTTACACTTTTTTCTATTAAATTCCTCTCTATATATTCTATTCTCTATGTGGATATCTCATTCTAAAGTGTTCAGCTCAGATCTTTAAATTATGCCAACGTGAGCTATCTTCTAAAGAATCTTGTCTTAAAGGTTATCATAGCTATCATTATTAAATATCATCATTATATTATTAGATTTTCTGAAAATAGTAATTGTTCATCTTTACCCTTGCAATAAATGTAGTGCGTCCAGGAAAGCAGGTTTATATATTTATATATATATATCTATTACTTAGCTGAAGTGCCTGCCCACTCGAAAAATTTGAATTTAAAAACAATCGAATCTTAAAGAAAAAATCAATCTTAGCCTATGTAATCCCCGGATATCCAAAGGTTCCAAAAAATCAGCAAATTTGGTCCTGCCGTTTGGCTAACATATAAAAATTTTACAGGATGAGTCAAAAGAAAACAGGGATTATTGATGTTTTGGACAAAATTATCAAAACTATTTTATTGGGTCGTTTGGCTTAACAAAATAAAATGTAATAAAAATAAATTTAAGACTATTTTTGAAACATTAGAGAATAAAAGTCCGCGAAACCAATTTTTTGTTAAAAAATAAAATTGTTGGGAAAATTTTATTCTATATGTTTTCAAAATTTCATGGAAATGTATCAAAAATATAATGAGATATAACAAAAAATGTATCAAAATATAATGAGATATAACAAAAAATGTATCAAAATATAATGAGATATAACAAAAAATGTATCAAAATATAATGAGATATAACAAAAAATGTCAGCCAATCATTTACATTTTTGAGGTTCTAAGGTTTTAAGGTTATATTAAGATTTACACTCTAAATTTCTGCTAATATGTTTTGCGTTTATATTTCATTTATTTTAATCAATTTTTATGAAGTTGTGGAAAATAAATTTTTAAAAAATTATATTTTTCAAAAAATTTGGTTTTACGGATTTTTTACTAATTTTGCAAAAGTATTTTTGATGTCTTTTTATGACATTTAATCTTTTTATTTTATTAATATATTATTAATTTTGAAAATTCTGTAAAAAACATCGGTAATTCCTGTTCTGTTTTACAGTGTGCATATATATATATTATGAACGAGGTACTTTATTATATATGACGTTACCAATTTGTCATTA